GTGACATTTTAAAGTGACAGCAATAGCAGCTCCTACCTTAAGTAAGAAATTTCTACTACATGAATATCCATGATATAAGGAATACACACACACAGAGAATAACAATGACAGCTATTCCAAACAGAGTTCAATTTCATAAAAGCAATTAGACCCTAGGTAAGTACCTAGAACAGCCACGATGCTCTGATCACCTGTCGAAGTTGGAAGGATGAGGAGCGCTGTAACCAATAAAAAGAGCAACTGATGCTCGAGAGTTCTCGGCGAGAGGAGAGCCGGGAGGGAGGAAAAGCGCGATTGCCGGCGGGGCTGCCGAGGGGGACCCGCCTCCCCCTCCGCTCGGCACGGCCCCGGCAGCCCCGGCAGCCCCGGCGGGCACGGCCCCGGCGGGCACGGCCGCTCTGCCCGGGCTCCTCGCAGCCGCACCGGAGCGGGCGGCGGCACGGCCAGGGTTAGGCACCAGCCAGCACAGGTCACCTCGGTGCCCTCACCTGCTCCCCGGCACTCCCGGGCCCGTGGCAGCCCAGCCCTGTCCCTGTCCCCGGGCAGGTCCCGGCCGTGCGGCAGCGCCGGGGCGGCTCGGGGACCCCCGCGCAGGCCCCGGCCCGGCCCGGCCCCGGTAGCTCCGCGGCTCGGGGAGCGCAGCGCGCCCGGGCGGGACGGACGGTGCTGCTGCGCTTCGCCGCGCTCTGCAGGGGCAGCGGCCGCGCCGAGACCCCCGCCCGGCCCCTGTGCCCCGGCCCCGCTCACCTGGGGGTCCCGCCGCAGGGGACGGGGGATCTGCGGCGCCGGGGGTCCCGCCGCGCCCCTTCCCTCTGCCAGGATCCCGCTACGGACAAGTGCCCGCGGAGAGCTCACCTCAGCTCACCCCACCGCAGGGGCCGCCCGGCCCCCCAGCAGCCGCGCCGCAGCCCCCCGCCGCCGCACCGCCCCAGCACGCCGGCACCCTCCTCCCGCCGCGGCTCCCCGCCCAGAGCAGACCCCGGGAAACGCCTACCGCAGCTCCTGCCCCCGACCCCCGCCGCCAGCCAGGCGGAGCCCTCCCCCGGGAGCCGCTGCCACCCCGCCCGCGGGGGCCCGCAGCCCGGGCCGAGCGGAAGGCATCCCGCAGCGGCTGCGGACAGCAGCGCCGGGGAGCCACAAGGTGGACGGGATTCCCCTTCTAACGGTACCATGAACCGAGGAGTTTCTTTTAAAGTTGGGGGCGGGAAACCACACACACGCACGCCGAAATAAACCAAACAAAACCATCTCCAAAGCCGCCTTCCCACTTGTCCTTTAGATCATCTGAGAACGCTTTTGAATCGAAGGCTCTTCTCGGAGCTGCAGGTATTGACAAGAGCCGCTTAAATAAAAACAACTGCTTCGTAGAAAATACTCGCAGGATAAAAATTAGGACTTTGAGGTATGAAATGATTTGTGGCACAGCTGGTATGCAAAATAAAACCATCAAACGTCTTGTCATAATCAAATATACCCTAAATCTGGACTAGCGACATTGCTTTTGAAAGATGTCGTTCCATATAAATGCCTTTAACGCCTGGTAGAAGATTTTTATGAACATGTTGACAAATGAAATAACCCGGGTTATTTGATTAGTGTCCGTGTAATCTGAATATGGGCTTGTATCAGGAAAAGAAACGTCAACCCTTTAATGCTTTTGAAAGGATGGATTTTCACTGCAATTGAAGAGTAATCTTATACCAATAATGAGGGCGAACCACTCTCGCTGTGTTCTGTGATACAGGGATTATAGAGGATGAACTCAAGAGTTCCTGTTCTCTTTTAAAATTCAGCTCGGGCTGAAGGAACAGCATTGTTGAGGGCAGCGGGGGTTTGGTAGCGGCCCAGCCACCCTGGAAGCTCTGCATCCTATCTCCCGCCCAGGAACCGGTGTGGTGGTGGCATCTCCTAACACTGCTTGGGAAACATCACCTGATTTGGGATGCAGGTGTCAGGAAACTGGGATGGACAATTCCCACTGCACTTCATATCGCAAGAATTTATAATTTTGCAGCCTTTATGCAAATAGCAACAGAAGGTGTAAGAAGGAACCATTAGATGTGGTCACCTGCCTTACGGGAGCTTGAAGCACTGTGAGACGGTACACTAAGGTAACCTGTGCCCCAAGGAGGGTGAGATGCACACCTTACAGTCAGCTCTCCTAGTGTTTGGTGGGATTTTCCTTCGAGCAAGACGCGATCAAATGGCTCCGAGTGCCCGGGTCACCGGCCCGGCCCGCCCCTCCTGGCCCCACACAAACCTCACTCGGGCTTGGGGCCGGACAGGCCTGCCCGGGGTGTGACAGCCACAGGAGGGGCTCAGGCCGATCGGAAAACCTGTCTCGTTTGAAACAGAAGGCTCTGGCTCTGCAGAGGCGGCCCCCAAGCTCCCGCCGCGCCCAGCCCTCCTGGCAGGGGATGGAGGAGCAGGGAAGGGGCGCTGGCAAAGACACAGCCCCACATTCCCCAGGGTGTTTCTGCCCAGCTCCGACCGAGGCAGAACTCAGCCGTGTCCTTGCTTTTACATACGCCCACCTAGCATTAAAACGTGCCCTCTCGTCGGGCCCTTTGGAGGAGGCAGATGAGCAGGGCATCTCTCTTCGCACAAGCACAGGATATGTCAGAGCCTAGAGAAGGGCAGTGCACATTATCGAAAAATAGTGATTTTTTTCTCGGCAGTGCCTTACTTTGCTTTGGAGACTCCCTTGAAGTCTTACGTCTTATCGCGAAGTCTTACAATACAATCTGATATTCTCGAGGCACCGAGGGAATTTGACGCTATGAGCATTTTTATTTCGTTTTGAAAGGCTGCGTTGTGTGCGGGGAAGGACGGCTGCCTCGGGCGGGGGGTGCCGAGTACCAGGCGGGCTGCGGACACTAGTGGGCACCGGCGAGGCCGAGGCCCGGCGGCGCGGGGGGAAACGAGGGATTCCTACTGCTCAGCAGCCGTTTGCTCATTTTTTGTGAATGTCGCCAGGGAGGATGTGGGTTTTTTCTATTTCTCCATGATCTAAGTAATCGCTGGGTCTCAACTGGCCAGTGCTCAAAAAACCTTTCAAGTGGTGAGCTCAAGCAGTGCATTCAGCTTTTAGCTGTGCATAGTTAAACCAGGCAAAGCGGCTGAAAGCCGGTGGACCCTCTAATCTTTCCTTGATAAGTCCCCGACCGCCGCCGCGGTTGGCTGTGTCTGAACTCGGTCCAGCACAGAAACACGCAACTGAAATCGAGTTTCTTCCTTCCCTGAAGTGCAAGCTGTATTTCAGACTGGCGGGCGGCAGCACAAGTCACCGCACCAAGCACGCCGAGGCTGCTGTGCTGGAGGGGCGCGGGCTGCCACGGGCAGGGGGCTTCGCGCCGAGGGGCAGGCGCGCCGCGCCCACGCGTGTCCTGGTCGGGCGCACAGGGACAGGGCCCGCCGGCTGCGTGGGGCAGCGCAGCGCTCCCCGGAGAGCCGCACATCGGGGCGGAGCGGGCAGGGCTGCCGTGTGCGTGGGGAAACAGCGCACACGTCCCACGCCCGCAGCCCCGCCCGGGCGGGCCGTGCCCCCCGCGGGTACCACCTTTGTCGGGGACAGGAGGTGTCGCTTTTTGCTGCAGGCGCGTGGAAGCGGCTCCCGGCTGGAGAGTGATGGCGCGGCTTCCCCGGTGAACAGGCCCCGGCGAAGCGCTGCGTGCTCGGGGTCTGCGCTCGGTGGGACAGCGCCCCAGCACCCCACAGGGGATGGGTTCCCTCCTCCTTGACTCGCGATGGGAGCCTCGCCCCGAGAGAGAAATGTCTAGCCCCAACTCTGTCATGCAAAGTGACTCTGCTCGCATCCCTCCCCGTGGCTCTTTTCATTAATTAGGGGCTGCAGAGATTGTGGGGGAGGGGGAAGCGGCTGGGAGCCACTAATTATTCAAACTTTGGAGACAGCATCCAGATGAGATGGTCAATCTCTTTAGGGCAGCGCTTTGTAACCTGTGTGTATCAGGCGGGGAGTGATTATGCTACTGTGCAAAGCCTCTATTAAGAGATTTCATTTCATCATAACTCATCGCCTGCAGGATGTGTTCAGACTCCAGTGTAAGTAAACCAAGATTTCCATGAAGAGAAACAATTTGCTGTGGCACGAGAGGGCCGTGAAAACCTGCCCCTACCCCCGCCCCCAAGCAATAATCTTTTTAATTGCACTCAGCTGCAAACAGATTTTTCTTAAGTGCCCTCTCGCGTTATGCCCCCCCCACCTCCGCTTTGTCACAGGTTTTTGCCACGACGCCCATCTCCGACAGCAACTTCTTTCTGCCTTGTGCTCTGCCACCCCTCAGCTCTGACCTCCTCTGGGCTCCAGCCGCTCCCGAGCCTGCTGGAGAGAGGCTTAGCAGGACGCGCAGCGATGCTCCGGAATGCAGCTGGGCTGCCCCGGCCCCCGGCCGGCTTCCGTGCCCGCCGGCGGCGGAGTGCCCTGCCCGCTCCCCGCTGTCCTGCCCCGAGGGCAGTCCGAGAGGGAAGGAGGCAGGAATGCCCGCCCTGTGCCCCGCCGGCGTCGGGCAGTGGTCCCTAAGCTCGGTCCCTCGCTAGCTGCAGCCTTTGCCATATCGGTATCCCGGAACAGGAAAGTCCCGGTTCATCTTGCCCCTCTAAGATCCTGTCTCCCTCCTCCCGCTCCCCTCCCTCTGCCCCTTCCTGCCTTTGGCCCGTGCGAGAGGAGCCTCTTCTCTCCTCGCGGGACGGGGCTGGGGCGCTGGGGGCAGCCGGGCAGGGAAGGGGGACTGGGCTCTGGGGACCATCCGCCTGGGCTCAGCCCCCTGCCCGGAGCCAGCGGTCCGGCGCCCCGCGGGCAGGGCTGCCTGGAGCTCTCAGGGTTGAGCTGAGATCCTGAAGTTACTGATTTCTCTTTTTTTTGTTTTATTTTGATTTTTTTTTCCTCTGCTCTTGGTGCTTCCGAAGCGCCTGTAAGATTTGTAGAGCGAGAGAGAGAGAGAGAGACTGGGGGAGGAGGAAGAATTAAGGAAAGGGAAAAGATGGCGAGTTGCTGGAGCAGTGTGGAGAAAGCGGCATTTTTGTGCTGCTTTTTGCTGGCAATGGGGAGCCTAATCTGCTGCGCCCGGCCGGAGGAGGAGGAAGAGCAAGAAGAGCAGCGCTCCTGTCACGGTGCCTTTGATCTCTACTTCGTCCTGGATAAGTAAGTGACAGTCGCATTTAAAAACGTTTATTCACCCTTCAGTGACTCCTTGCAGCAGCAGGGATGTGGTTTCTTTTCCCCGTCTTCCCGGACAACTTCTCCTGATGCCAAATGCAACGTGTGGGTCTCGTTCCTTACTTTTGCTTCCCAAAACTTGCACATTTCCCAAGTGGAGCATTTAGGGGAGCAGTGTCCTTTATGCTGAGTTAGTTGTGCATGCAAAGCTGGGAAATTGGGTTGCTTTCAGGTTGTAGTGTGTGGGGTGTGGGCTGTGAGTGTTGGATTTGAGGGGGTGTTGGTCAGTGCCCACATTGTTCCTGGAGTTTTGTGTCATGACTTGGGCTGTGTGCAGAGATGTCACTTGTGGGACTTAGCAGTGCTAGGACCATGCAGACCTGCCTAAAGTTAAGACCAGACTGCTTGTCTGTGTTTTTACAATTCACTTATAAGAACAAGGTTTTATAAAATTTGTTTTTGCTCAGCTTCTTCAGAGTTGTCTAAACTTGTGTTTGAGTTACATCTATTAAAATAGGACTTCTCTTTAGTACTGTGTCAGCTGAATTCAGGTGTGGGGGGGTATGATTAAGCTCATGTGTGTAGGCATGTTTTAGCAAGCACTAACAGAGCAAGTGGTAAAGTGGTGCACCCGCAGGTGTTTTTCAGAAGGTACAAATTTCTCTTTCTTCTGGTGTACTGCTCTGGCTTCACAGAGGATTAAAGCCAAGGGATTAACTCAAGGAGTAAATTGTTAGTGTCCCACAGTGTGATGACTGTGTTATCAAATACATCCTGGGTTACCTATGTGACAGAGTATTATGAAAGATGGAAGACTTGCCCTCAAGCCAGGTATAAAGTCTGCATTATTCTATTTCCCAGTTGGGAGAATGATCGATCCATAAGGCCCTCAGTACAGCCTGCAAGAGGCAAAAAGTCACTGTCACTCAAGATGTATATTTCTGTATTCAAGAGGGGAAGAAATATCATTAAACAGTGATTCTGTTTTTGGAGCAAAAGAAGCTGAAGATCAAAGGCATTCTGCCGTTCTAAAAGATACACTATTACACCATGTGGTCATTGTTTTGTTTTTCTTTTGCTTAGAACTTGTTCCTGAAGTAACCTCTGTGTCTAGAAAGGGCTCTGTGGGGGGCTAGTGTTAGTTCTCAAATTCATTCCTGCCAGGCTTCCTAGAAGTGACTGGCACTGTTGTTATGCCCAGTTCCCACGCTGAATTCCCTGTAAAAATGAATGTTGTGATAGCAGTATGGCTCCTCTGTCTTCTGTAGTACAATTTCTTTGTTACAATGACATTGAGTACCCCAGCAATCTCCACTGTCCCCCATGCTACTTTTCATCTATATTTCAGAATATATATATATATATTAGTCAATATTTCAGAAAGCCCTTTTTGGCTGTGCTGTTACCATTCATATTGCATTCAAGGAGATAAAAGCAAAGAAGAGAGCAATTTGCTCAGAGATACTGATCTTCAAACAGTAGGAAATTGATCATCTAAGCAAGTTCCTCTCTAGTACTCTGGACCTGAAATAATGTATTTTCTTTTTACAAGCCACAGGCCTTTCATTTTGTTTCAGGTGCTGTCCATTCACTACAGTAGTCCACTGGAAACTGGACCTGATCATGATTGAAGTAAAATTTCATGCATTTGGGTTCCAGTGGGAAAATTCTCTTTAGCTTCAATTGCAAACTGAGTCTTTATGACCTTTGAGAGTTACACCAAATAGTTCTCCTTTGGTAAAAGCTGTGTTAATAGTTGCATGGGCCCCTGAGTGGTTTTAGAATCTATCCCTGCTCCTGCCAAGCCTGTAACAATGGGGTGGCAAAGCTGCTGTTGGTCTCAATGAGATTGCATTACAATCCATATGGGTAATATTAGAGTGGCAGAGCTTGGGAGCCATGGATCCTATGCTGGCTGAGGGTGTATTTATCACAGCTGTATTCTGTGACATCTGGCACAACACAAGGAGCTTTATGGAGGCAGGGAGGACTGATTTAGTGCACATACCCTGGGTCTTGGAACAGCTCATCAGGAAGGAACTCCAGGTGGTGTTGAGAATTCATTAGTATTGAGGACAGTAAGGGTATTTCAGGTAGGGAGAAGGCAGGAAGCCCATCAGAAGCATCTGGTAAATCTGTAAATACAGTGAACAATAATTTTTTTTTAGGATTGGATCCATGCTGACATGTATCTCTGAAGAATTCTGTCTGTTATTTCAAGTGGGAGAAACCCCAGAAAAACCTAGCCATACACATGAAGTACACCCCTATAGCTTGGGGATTGCCTCTCTTTGTTGGTGCCCTGCCAGTCTGGAGTTGGATGCATTCAGTCTTAGTTAGCTGTCTAACAGTGTGATTGAAGTATTGGTTGTGTGAAAATACCAGGCTTTAATCCTGTGACCCTGTAATGAGCTGAGTGACAGCTCCTGTCTCTAAAATCAGTCTGGCTGAACCAAAATGACTTTAAGTCTGGTTTGCTTTGCTTCCCAATAGAAAGATCTGTAGGAGGAAATCTGGAAGAAGACAACAAACCTTTCTCCTTATGCAGTGTGTGTTACTGCAATGACTTTATTGGGGCATGATTTTTCCTTTCCGTTCTGCCAGGCAGTCTGTGAGGATTTAATCCTGCAGGCAACAACCATCAGATGGAAAAGATCATCTTCTGGTGAAGTTATTGGTATAATATATGTGCTGCCAATTAGAAAAAAAGAAACTTGCTGTTTTCTTGCATTTTTTCTCTGCCTGAGTTTGACTGCAGTCCTTCATGTTAACTCCACAGGATAAGCAAGATCAGGGCAGTGGCACTAAACCTTAGATGCCCCAAAAAGCTGCCATAATGAAAGGGAAAAGCAGCATGTGTGGGAGGGAGACCAGCCATCATCCTCCTTAGGACTGGCTGACCATGCCAGAGCTACATCAGGACTTCCTTGTCTCTGGGGATGCTTAATTGAGGAAATCTCTTGATGCTGGGAGAGCAGGACATTTGCTGGCTGCAGATGCGGCTGCCTAGAGTCTGCAATCTTGCTCTGTCTGAATCTTGTGCTTTATGAGTTGTGCAGGCCTGAGCTTGTTTGGAGGCATAGTGGAATACTTTAAAATATCATAATGAAGCAGCAAAAATTCTTTTGTAAGCAATAAGTCACTCTCTGCATGAGGTAAGGCAGTGTACATTGCAGCTGGCACACCCACCTTTCCCATGGCATACAGTAAGATCAAGTCACTTGTGATAGCAAAGTTCTCAGTTTTACCTTTAAACAAAGTAAAAAGCTTTTAAGTCAGACATAATGGATTGTTGAGTAGTTCTTACTTGCTTTGGTTGCTTCATTTGCTTAGGTTGTCCCAGTGCACAAAGAACTTATTTCTGTCCCATCTCAAAACTGTGGAGGACAGGCCCTGTGAGGGATTTGGTTGCTTGACCATCAAGCCTTGTAGTGACATACTTGTGCTTGAGAATGTAAATAACTCCCTTTCATCCTGCCTTGCTGTTAACATCCAGCTGTTGTTTGTAATCATATTGAGTTGCACTTGATGAGAAGAAAGGATGACTGACCTCTAGTGTTTCCTAATTATAACAATGCCTGGTAGCATCATTATGACTGTTTATTAATGCAACAAATAGAAACCCCTTTAAAGTAGGGAGTTATACGTAGCATAAATATCTGCTGCTGCTGGCAATGCTTGACAAGACAAGTCTGAACTGCTGAGCTATCTGTGTTATAATTTTCCAAATATGAAACAACTTCTTGGTTATTTTTGATTGTGAGATAGACAGAAGTGTTTTCTTATTTTTCCTATTTGAGATGTTTGCTAAAAGTTATTTGGATTTTGAGGAAAAATGAGCTTTACAGCCCTGGGAAAATGCTTCCTTTTTCTACAGCATAGATCACAGCAGCAGTAATGTATCAGTAAAGTCTTAGCTGGTTTTCTTGGATTGTAACTGTTATGTTGGGAAGTTTGGCTTAACTACATTTTCTTCAATCCTCATCTTCCCCCTGAAGTTCTGTATAGTCCCTCTGTCTCTCCTTGGGCCCACAACAATATTGCCTTTCACATCAATTTTACTTTGTCTCCTCTGCTACCAAGAGCATCCATGTCACCAGCAACTTTGGTAGAGACATCAGTAAAATGTGCCCAGTCTCTCACTTGTAATCCATTTTTCAGCTACTTCTCTTTCAACATGGTAAGCCTTGCTCCAGAGTTTAATGTCACTGTTAGGGAAGAGCACAACCTCTGATGAGGTGGGAATTTGCTATTCTGTCCAATATCCTTCCTGATTTTGTTTTTTAGGTCTGTATACCCTTCTCAGCTTGCCATTGAAAAGGCAGTGGGTGTGGGAAATGTCAGGAGGGAAACAGGTTGATCCTCCCTCATTTGCCAAAAGCTTTCATTTGCCAAAAGCATTTCAGGAGCTGCTATTTAAGGTCACCTTCTATAATTTTAAGAAAACTAGAGGGAATTGCTGATCTCCATGTATGTTTTTGGTTTTTTTCACAATATGCTGCATTTAATGCAAACAAATAGCATTTGGTAAACACATTATTTGCCCCCCCTCCCCCCCCCCCCCCAAAACGATTTCCTTGCCAATGATTTGAATGAATTTAGCACTCAGGAATTACAAGTACTAGTGAGAACAAATATTTTTGCCTTAGGGTCTCATTGCAGCCCTGTGCTTCTTTTCCTGCCTTATGTAGTCCCAGCCTAAGATCATTGGGATGGAGCTGGCCCTGTGGGAACTCCTGCAGCTTCTCTCTCCATGCTCTTTGAGTCCACTGCCATTCTGGGTGCTGGTTTTGCACAGTGTGTGGGGAGGGAACGGGTGGCTAAACAACATTGTTGTGGCTGGAAAATCTGACTGCTGGCAAAAAATGAACACATATTCTATTACCTACCTTAAATATATCCGAAAAGTCGGTATTGAGTGACTTTAAACCACTGCTGAACTCTGTTCTGTCTAGGTAGGAATATCTCCCTCCTGCAGTCAGACT